TTAGGTTCCGTGCCCAGGACCTCCGTGTGTCTTTCCCCTGAGCTGTTCTGCTGCTCTGTGATTTCCCACATGGTTTACATTAGCTCGGCTGCTGCAGAGTTCTGCCTTTTGCTTGTTTGTTTTCAGGCTCCATAGACTAAGTGTTGTTTGCTTTTCATTTCAAAGAGATTTCATATTGTTTTCTCTTTTTTTGTTGTTGTTGTTTTTCTTGTTTTCCTCTCTGTACCTGCTAACACTCTTTTACTGATTCCCGTTATTCTTTCAGAGAAGTTCTCAAATATTCTGTGTAGTTGTGCCATGCCTTAAATTTTCATCAGCTATAGTTTGATATCATATATTTATTCCCCCCATACACTCTCCAAATAAATTTAATTAGATTGGTTTATTAGGAAATGAATAGATTAGCACAGTACTTAAAACAAGAATGTGATTAGTTTGCAATTGCAAAGATTAATGGTTGGATGCAATTTTATTCCCTTTGCTACTACCATAAACTGAACATCACAAAGTATTTGTTTATAAAGAATAGAGCTTGATTTGCGAATGGCATTGACAGCTTTCAACATCATCTGGAGACCTTCATGATGCATCAACAACACATGATGAAACACAAACAGCTTTGGGAACTCAATTTCTCCTTTTTTTTTTTTTCCAATCAACGCCATAATAAAGGCTCTGATCATCTAACCTTAATTACTATCCCCAAACCCAAATCCAAATACCACTGCATATGAACATGGGTTGTTTTAAACATAAAAGGTTTGAAGGTGACATCCAAAGCATTGATAGAAATAATGCCAATGAAACAAAAATGTATTAGAGAGAGGAGGAGCAGCTATGGTCATAGAGAACTCCGAGAACTACTGTCTTCCAAGGAGACACATTCAGACCTGACATTGAGGCTTTAAGGAGAGTAACAAAGACAGTTCGCGAAAGAGTTTTCATTTAATAGCCAAACCAAAGAACACAACAAATACGTGAAAATGTAACAGATAAAAATAAGTCACAAATAAAGGAGGCAAAAATAAGTATCCATCATTTATGCAGTATACTTCATAAAAGGCTAGTTTTTAAAGGGAAACTATGAGGCATAGAAAAAGAAATGAAGGATGAGTTGTGCGTGCAAAACTATGTACAAATTGTGGTAGAAACACATAACCTACTTAAGGAAGACAATGTCAATACCAGGCGACACAGATGTCCCCTGTGCTGAAACTGTACTGTGGTGAGCAGAGTGGAAGGTGCTAGAAACTCTTCAGAGGAGCAGGTATGTACCAAGGAGTTGCAGACATATGGTGAGCAAAAAATTACCTGACTTATCTCTAAGAGATCTCAGAGATCAAGTCAGCAAATCCAACGAGTGATAGCATTTAGGAACTGTAAAATGTAGGAAAAAACACAAATGAACAGATATGTGGAGAAAACAGAAGCATTTTAAAAAATAATATTTTGTTTTCTATACCAAGACATTGCTGATTAAAACAGTTCCATAAATGTTTGTCATATTTTGTTATTATTTCCCATCATCCTCTCTTCTTCTCTCAAGGCTAAGAATTTGGCAAAAATCACTGAAAAATCATCATAAATCCACTGAGAAATCTTCCAATATTTAATAAAAATGTAGAGAGACAGTCTATTATGAAAAATCATAAAACTGAAAAACTCTTGTAAGCATCAACTACATTAATTCTGACTGGCTTCTTATCAAAAACAAGAGAAACTACAGGAAAATGGGATGAGGTCTCTCATAGCACGAATCTTAAAAGGTCTTATTAACAAAAACAAACCCGGAGCCAGGTATTGGGGTGAACGCTGAAAGATCAGAGAAACAGAACCAGCCACAGCTAACCTCACCTCGCCAATTCCTCAGCTGATCCGTTCCTCAAACTGTGTCCTTATCTGAATGGATCTCAGCTGAACTGCTGCTAAAAGCCTAAAAGCTTAACAGGCTGACTCTAGTTCCTGGTTTTCACGCCTTAAATACCTTTCTGCTTCCTGCCATCACTTCCTGGAATTAAAGGCATGTGGCACCATACCTGACTGTTTCCATTGTTGCTTTGAACTCACATAGATCCAGCTGGATCTCTGCCTTCAGAATACTAGGATTAAAAGTGTGTGTTTGCCACCATTTTCTGGCCTCTATATCTAGTGGCTGTTCTGTTCTCTGACCCCAGATAAGTTTATTAGGGTGCACAATATATTAGGGAACACAATATCACCACAGTCTCTAAACACAGGAAAAACATATTGTCATTCAAAAGTTAAATATGGCAAAACTGTCATTCAAAACAAAGACCAATAACAATGTGCTCATACAGATTAAAATAGAATACATTTTTTGAACTGATTACATTGAAGAAATACTCATCAGGTTTCTTCAAGTACACAGTGAAAAATGTAAGATGGAAATATGAATATACATTAAATGAATATTGGTAAAGTTAATTATTAAAAATATGTAAGAGTATAAATGAGTATGTTTCATTGGAATGAGGAAATGACTTCAGAGGACAAATGTAACCCACAGGAGCAAGAAGATAAATATAATAAATCATAAATCTTTTATTTTTGTCTCTTTATAGAGATGTAAATAAATATATAATAATTATGGTATTTGGTTTGCTTTTCAACATATATAGATATAATATCTATTGTAATAATAGTACAGAGCAGAAAAATATAACCATGTGGAAATTCTGTCTTATAATTAAAGCCTTCCTAGAATACATCTGACATACTGTCAGGTTAGAATACATGTACTGTGGATGCTGAAAAGAGAGCAGTACATCATCAGTACTAACACCAGAAGAAACTAATGTAAACACTACTACAGTCTTTCAAATACTACAATAGAAATGATCATTTGTGAACAAAGTAGTAAAGCAAGAACAGCAAACCAAAAGTAAAGTGACAGAATATAGAAAATTTAAAATAAGAATGTACAAATCTAACCATAACAAAAACATAAATATGACATATTAAGCAATGCAATGTAAAAGTAGAAATTGTCAGAATGGTTAAGTAAACATGATACTGCTTTATATTCCTTACATTCTGTAACAAATGCACACATCCTGAAACAGTAAATAGATGTTTAAAAAGAAGCTGAAAATTGAATAAGATCATAAAATGCAACAGAATTAGTAACAAAACTGTTGCACAAACTCCATGGTAGGTGTGTTTCTTGACAAAGTACACCAAATTGTTAAATAATAATTAATAACTTCACCAGATCTTACAAAATTCAGACTGGAAATTCACTTCATTTCATATTTTACACCAGAAACCTACAGACAAACAATATAAGAAAATAATATACTATAATGTGTTAAAATATGTATGCAATATAAAGAAATAGATGTTTTTCCAGGTGTTCTGGGCACAGTGGACATTTGAACAATCAACCACTGTAATCCATTTTATCTATACAATAAAGAAAAATTTTGTATTTCTTTCTGATGTAGAATATATGCATTCTAAAAGCTATTTATGATTGATATTCATTATAAGAACAATAATGTATGAATATTCTAGAATAGAGTGTAATCTGACTAACATTTTCAAGAGATTAAAAAATGTCAATTATGTCATACTTAACGCTAAAAAGTACAGAGCTTTACAACCCAAATCAGGGAAAAGCTTCTGTCATCTACGATCAATACTATTCAAAGTTAAAATAGAAAAAAAGGAGCGACATCAAGATATACAAATAGCAAAAGATACTAACAGTCATATATAGAGGTCAAAACTTCTAGTAAAAGAAAAAAAATTACAAAATGTTGACCTATAAGTTCAACCACTGTATATTCCTTAAATATTAATTATGGCAACTTGATACAAAGATTCAATTCAATGCCAATAAAAATAAGAGAAAGTTATGTTAGGTCATTTAAAAAAAATCAGTCTGAGAGTTTGCATGAGTGTGCGGTCAAGCTAGAAGCACCTACAGAATAGCAAAAGACACACAAAAGGACTGACACTTTTGCGTTTGCAGATTACTATAAAACTGTAGAAGGGGAGATAACAATAGAGGGAAAGGTAGAACAATAGAACAAAGAAATGTCTAGAAACTCCCAGCAGAATCAGACTTGACTTGTCTTCAACAAAGGAGTTATGCCATTTATCAAAAACAGAATGAAGTTTTCAGCAAAGATGCTGGAAAAAAAATTGGCTGGACTTTGTCACCTTTCCAATTATATGCCTGTCACAAAACTCGAGACTGAATGGGTCGCGCATATTAATACAATTTGCTAAACTAGGTGGCTTTGGGAGAAAAACTAGTGAGGACATAGATGAATCTAAGTTTGAGTCCAGGTTTTTGGATACAATAACTGAAGCAAAGTAAGTTAGACGTCATTGGATATTTGTAAAAACATAAACTAGTGCTCCATGAAAGACACAGCGAAGTAAGTGAAAAGACAAATTCCATTTAAGTTAAATCTTTCCAAATCACAAATATAGGAGAATATGCATTTATAAAAATAAGACACCTTTAAAGGTCAACAAAATACACACTAACAACCTAGTTGAAAATAGGCAACGTATCTTAATGAAATCACTGCAAGCATCCATAACTCTATAACCAGCACGTGAAAAAGTTGACAACTTTCATCTTTAAAAAACACAAGAATAAAATAAGAATGGGTAGAAATCCTAAGAACGTATACAATAAAATGCTTTGGTAAGAACGAAGGTGGTTTCTGAGTGAGGCATGAAAAATTTCACAGCCAGGTAGAAAGATGGTTTGTGACAACTCAGAAACTTAAAACACTCTGAACATAGATGTACTAAATCCAATTAAAGACTGTGTGTCAAAAGATATGTCCACACACACAAAAGAGTGACCATAACTCCAATAATACGATCTGAAAAAGACAAAACTAGATTGATATCAATTAGTTGATAGAGGCTTAAAAGTAAGGACTTGAAGGGAGAAGCATAATACACATTTTGAGGACATTGAAAATATTTTCTGTTGGGTGGAAGCTATCACTGAGTGGCGGCGGCTGCTGATTGTTTTCTAAGGGTCGGAGTGGGGTCGACGTTTGCTCTACCGGAACCACTTAGCTCATTCCTTCCCTTCCATTACCCGTGGCGCGGAGAGTCGGGGCGGCGGCTGTGTCATCAAGGGTGGTGGCGGCGGCGGCAGCTGCAGTGACATGTCCAGCATGAATCCCGAATATGATTATTTATTCAAGTTACTTCTGATTGGCGATTCTGGGGTTGGAAAGTCTTGCCTCCTCCTTAGGTTTGCAGATGGCACGTACACGGAAAGCTATATCAGCACGATCGGTGTGGATTTCAAGATCCGAACTATAGAGTTAGATGGGAAAACAATCAAGCTTCAGATATGGGACACAGCAGGCCAGGAAAGATTTCGAACAATCACCTCCAGTTATTACAGAGGAGCCCATGGCATCATAGTTGTTTATGATGTGACAGATCAGGAGTCCTTCAATAACGTTAAACAGTGGCTGCAGGAGATAGATCGCTATGCCAGTGAAAACGTCAACAAGTTGTTGGTAGGGAACAAATGTGACCTGACCACAAAGAAAGTAGTAGACTACACAACAGCAAAGGAATTTTCAGATTCCCTTGGAATTCCATTTTTGGAAACCAGTGCAACGAATGTAGAACAGTCTTTCATGACGATGGCAGCTGAGATTAAAAAGCGAATGGGCCCTGGAGCGACAGCTGGTGGTGCAGAGAAGTCCAATGTTAAAATCCAGAGCACTCCAGTCAAGCAGTCAGGTGGAGGCTGCTGCTAAAATTCGCCTCCGTCCTTCCCTCACAGCGATGAATTCGCAATCTGAACCCAAGAGAAAAAACAAATTGCCTGAATTGTACTGTATGTAGCTGCACTACAACAGATTTTTACCATTTCCACAAGGTCAGAAATTGTCAATGGTCAATACTGACTTTTTTTTTTTTTAATTCCCTTGACTCAAGACAGCTAACTTCATTTTCAGAACTGTTTTAAACCTTTGTGTGCTGGTTTATAAAATAATGTGTGTAATCCTTGTTGCTTTCCTGATAGCAGATTGTTTCCCATGTTTGGTTAGACTATATTTTGTTTTGATGTTTATATTGGCATGTTTAGATATTGGGTTTAGTCTTCTGAAGATGAAGTTCAGCCATTTTGTATCAAACAGCACAACCAGTGTCTGTCAATTTCCATGCATAAAGTTTAGTGAAACGTTACATGTAAGATCTGATTTGCTAGTTCTTCCTTGTAGAGTTATAAATGGAAAGATGACACTATCTGATTAATAGTTTCTTCATACTCTGCATATAATTTGTGGCTGCAGAATATTGTAATTTGTTGCACACTATGTAACAAAACTGAAGATATGTTTAATAAATATTGTACTTATTGGAAGTAATATCAAACTGTATGGTGATAAGTATTGTTTTAATTCTTATGGTTAAAGGGAAATAGAGGTTTGCATTATACTCAACAGCCATTTATGTGTGCAACAAGGGCACTGTAGACTAAGAGCACAGCATCCAGTACTTGCTTTCTAGTGTTAGGCCTGCTCAGTGACCTAGAGAAGTTTCTGTGTTGTGTACACTGAACCAGCCTCATTGGTTCAAGGAGCTCACACTGTATGGAAACAAGTTTAGAGTGTCTGCTTCCTAGCACTTCATCTCCAGGCCTAGGCCCATCTGAAGAGGCTTCCCAGGCAAGGCTTTTTTCTTGCATCTGTGGTAGATGGAGAGCAGCACATGCCTCCTCACAAGCAGTGAGCTGGTGATCCGTGCTGGTGCTTCCTCCATGCTGAGTCAGATGTCACCCACCCACCCACCCACCCACGCCACCCCACCCCACCCCTGGTTTGGGGATTCTCTTTTGCTTTTTGAGACAGGGTTTCTCTGTGTAGTCCTGGCTGTCCTGGAACTTGCTCTGTAGACCAGGCTGACCTCGAACTCAGGGATCTACCTGTCTCTGCCTCCAAGTACTGGGACTAAAGGCATGCACCACCATGCCTGGCTTTTTCTTCTCTCTCTCTCTCTTTTTTTTTTTTTTTTGAGACAGGGTCTCACTATGTAACCCTGGCTGGCCTGGAACTTAGTATGTGCAACAAGCTGGCCCCTCATAGAGATCCACCTGCCTTTTCCTCCCAAATGGTAGAATTAAAGGCATGTACCACAATACCCAGATTGCACTGTTTTTTGAGACAGTGTCTCATGTAGTTCAAGAGGCCTCATTTCCACTTGTAACCAAGGATGGCCTTGAACTCCCGATCCTCCTGCCTCCACTTCCAGATGTCAACTTTTTATTCTTTCCAATTGTATAACTCAAGTTGGAGGAGAGTTTAAGCATTAGAAAAGAAAGCAGGAAATGTTGATCGCCCTAACTAGAAATTATATCCCCCCAAATTAACTGAAAACATGAACTCTAGATGGGAATGATGAGAGAAGTAATATATTTATTTCTGTGAAATTTTTGCATGTGTGAAAGCTTTGTTAACTAGGACCTTCAAGACCTAGACTTTGCTTTTGTCTTACTGTGGGAAACAAAGTCTCTTGCGGACACTAGCATTTAAGGTGACAGAGGTCAGAGATTGTTTCCTTTGGTTTAAACAGCAGCCCAACATTCTTCAATTGGGGGCTTAGGATGTGACTGCTGACAACACATTTTATTATGGGGTCTTTAATGATAAAATATTAAACTAAAAATAAGCCAAAAATTACGTTTCTTTATTTTTCACTAAACAGACGATTGAAATACATGGTACAAAAATAAGTGATAAGATTATTGTAAAATGAAAATGGACAGAATAAATATTCAATTTAATTTTCCATCTATGAAAATTTCACAATAAAATCACAGTTTACTTTGTAATATATATATATATATATATATGCTTCATATATCTTATAACCCATTGAAATTTACACTTCAAAAAGTTAACTTTAATGTATAAACATTAAAAATGAAATCATTTATGAAGCTGCAGCTTCCTAGCAGAATCAGTGTGTATAACAAATAATTTGTCCTAATTAGATGAGTCACCTGCACTGAGGTTGAGAGAAGAAAGGTGGTAACAAAAACTATGTAAAATTATTAAAGTCGTTAGTGTGAGAAGATGTGTAAAAAATCAATGCAAATTAATCCCTGACATTATCATGGTAATAGAAACTAATTTGACATGATGATACATGTATATTTTAATGGAATAATTAACATATCAAGGACCAGTTTCTCATTTTAGGAATAACAGTGTACAGAGGATGAGGGTAGAAAGCTGACATGATCCATGATGGTGGACAGATTAGGAGACACAAAGAACTTAAGTATAACATAATGTGGTTACTGATCTTTATTTACACAACTTTTAGCTGCTCTATCAGCTGCAAAACTCTAGAATTTAGGATTCCCTGATCATGTCATACCTGACACCTATATTTGGATTTCTAAATCCTTTCCTCCATAAAATGAGCCATGAGTCCTTATAGATTTGGGTTATTCAAATATAGGGATAAAATAAGTAAATGAGACTGGAATAACAATGACAAAAACAACAGACAAGCAAAAATAACAGAAGACTGTGAGAAAAAATGAAAGCACATGAAAATGGGGCTGGACTCAGTGATTAAGAGGTAAAATGGCTCCTGCTGAGGACCCACCTGTGCTTCCCAGTGTCCATGGTCAACAGCTCACAGTTGCCTGTAACTATAGGGTATCTGACAGGGTCTTGGACTCCAAGGACAACTATACTCATATGTACATATATTAACACAGAGATATACAATTAAAAATTGTAATAAGTATTTGTGACAAAAGTACTTAATAATCAAATGGAAGACTTCTTCATGCATTAATTGACACAATTAAAATCACAAAATGGAGCCACTCTTGACTCTTCCAGCTGTTGAACATGCCCTAAGAAGGCTGGGGAACTTATTACAGAGGCTGAAACTCTAGAACCAATCATGGCAGATTCAGTATTGTCAGGGGCTTGGCTTTCTAATTCATATGGACATGCTCCTGCCATAACTCACTTGGAGGAAGGGAGACTCCTTCATGAACATTAATTTTCATAAATCCGTCATCTCTAAAACCTCTTGCTTCCCAATACTGTTACACTGAGTGTCATATCTCAATGCTTGAATTTTAAGGAGTTGAAAGCATCCAATCTATGTAGACTAGAGCACAAAGTGGAAAATGAACTTTCCTGAAACAAAATGAATGAAATGAATGTGGAAAAGTATGATGAGTGAGTAAATAAATAATGTATAACATAATAAAATTATAAATAAATAACATCAAGACTCATGTAGAAGAATTTTGAATCCAATATGTAAACATTCTACCCTCAGGAAGATAGACTATAGACTTCAAGTACTTGTCAGTAGGATGTGTCTAAGGACTTTCTTCTAAAAGGGTGAGAAAAGGGGCAGGGGTTGAGAATATCTTCACAGTAGAAAAACTAACACTTCCTGAGCCATTGGCAAAGGTCAACATTAAGAACTATAAGTCATGCTGATATTTAATTGTGTTTATCAGTTTCAATGAAAATGGTATTTCACCTCTGAGCTCTACACCTCAAAAAGCCATAACCTCAATCTAATTATGATAAAAACAGCAGATACATTCCAGGAGAAGGACAATCTACGAAATATATGGTTATCACTCCTCATAAATGTCTCACTGAGAAACTGTCACACTGAAGAGGTGAATCGTGGGACATGACAATTTGATGTTATCTGGTATCCTGAGTAAGACCCTGAGACAGATGGAAGACATTCAGTAAAAATGAATAAAGTCTACAAAGAGCAGGAGGTTTTTTTTTTTTGTTGTTGTTGTTAATTTTCTTTTTCTTTATTAAGGAATTTTTTATTCATTTTACATATCAACCACAGATCCCACTCTCTTCCCTCCACCTACCCCTCCAGCCTTCCCCCCACCCCCCAAAAAAAGTTTAGAATTGTTGATTCTTTCAAGATTTTTATAAGATTATCTTTTGAGATAAATCATAAAATGATTGATCCTTTCTTTGTAACTGCAAACAGCTGCTTGGCAGTACAAAAGGAACTAGCTTAAATATAGTTAGTTGGCTTGCTAAAAATTTTGTTAATCAATATAAAAGAATCCTTGCTTTGGGTGAAGATGTATGGTGGGAAAATTAATACAACACAAAATGTTTAACTACTTGGGGGCATCTAAGGAAAACATGTGATCATAATGTGATTTTTTCCTGTATAAAGATTTTAATTTGTTTTTTGGAAAACATTTAACTTGTAGTTGTGAGGTAATCTTTTCTTTCTTAGAAATGCTTGTCTTAGGAGTTATAAAAGGGATAAGATAAAAATAAATGAGGCAGAAGGAAAACATCAGGAAAGATGTGGAAGGAAAGCAACAGGACAGAGAAAGAAGGAGAACATCAGGAAAAAAGAAGGAGGAGTAGATGGAGAAGGAGGAGGAGGAGAAGGAGAAGAAGGAAAACAACAGAATAGTAGAGCAGAGCAGAGAAAGAACAGCATAGGAAGAGCAGAAAGAGAAAAACAAAATGAAGAATTAAGATTTGTCCTTCCAATAAAGTTCCCATGTGTGTCTGTTCGTCTGTCCAGGAGTTTGCTGACTTCAAGCCTCCTCTTCAGTACCTGATCTGCTGAGGGCAGAGAGGGAAGAGGGAGGAGGATGAAGTAGATAGGAGAGAAAGGAAGAAAAAAAGAAGGAAGGGAGAATAGGGGAGGAGAAAGGAGAGAGTTATATTGATATTTTCCTTCCCATCCCCTCAGTAACAGACATGTTCATGTGTGATTCCTTATCAATTTACCATTTAATCAGAGAAGGTCACACGTCATTTGGAATACATTTAATGGTGCCTATTACAAGTTTCTTTTCAGTTGCATGTAATCATTACCAGCCAAATGAAGCTGTTTCTGGAATATTTTAACCACCAACTTCCTATAATATCTGTGCAATGTGAAGATCTATATTTTCATTCAATGTAAGTTTTATTTAAATAAAATATACATGTAGGATTTTTGAGAAATATTTCAAAACTAAATATTCTAACTGCCCTGTTGAGCTGCACTGGGCTGCAATGCAGTTTAGATGCTACTTTCAGTGAAACCATCCCGTCACGGCAGCATCATGCTTTCTTTTCAAGGAAGACGGTCTTAAATAATAGCTATGTATTACTACACTGACACAATAATCAAGACTGTTGTATTATTGAATCTTATCTATACTAAAACATGGGGAAATTAATTCTCACAGGTCTGAAGTCCAGGCATTTTTTTCCTTTTGTACAAAAAATCCCTTGAGCTTATTGGTAGACTGAAGGAGGTTTTCCTTGAGCTGTTGGTGGTGAACTAAAGAAACACATTAATGGTCCTTTCATTTTTATTAAAAAAATTTCAGATCATCCATTTCTTGTTATTT